ATTGTTGGAGGATGTGTGGCAGCTTGGAGGAGTGCATTTGGGTGGGGCAAGACGAGGTAGGACAAAGAAAGATGCTGGGCTGCATCACTACTCTCAACTGATCCAGTCAGTGCCTTACCTGACAGCCGCCCTGCCCCAATATATCAGCTAGAAGAGGACAGGATGTTGTGAAGCCTGAAATGAAAAGTTGCTGATGCCAGAGCCAAGATCCAGGGGGAAATAAAACCAGAAACAAACATACAAAGCTTCTTTAAAGAAAAGGGAAAAAAAAGAACACAGATATATGGGGCATCAACGAGAAAAATAAAGGAGCAGTTAAGAGAAATACAGCAGTCTGCCCATGGCCCTTAGCATGGGAGGCAGGAAACAGCTTTCAAAAGCAACCCCAAGTCAAACAGCAACCTGCAACGGGTAGGTCTGTATGGGACAAGTGAGATCTGCAGAGATACCGTAGCCTGCAGTGTCTGTGCCAGCTCCCTCACCGGAAGCCGCATGTGCATGGCACACAGCTGAGAGGCAGGATACATCTGCCCAAGCACAGTGCAGCACTGCACAATGCTATACAGCTTCCTGTTGAGGTGGCAGCAGGCACAGAATTAGCTTAGTGTGTCTGAATGTGTGCCACACACACGCAACCCAAGTGTTCTCAACAAGGGCTATCTGCAAAATGCCTCACAGGAAACACTTGCAAACTGACCAGTGGTGAAATGCTTGGTGGCCCCTGCTGGGATAAATGAGGCATCCATAGGGTTAACCTCCACATAGCATTCATATGACAGGATCCTGGTCCTGTTAACATCTATGGCCATATTTCCACTGGGCCAGGAAGGTTCATCTCCCACATTATGGCCAGGAGGGATCGCTGTGTTGAGGCAGCCTGAGGTCCTACATGACAAGTTCCAGGCCTCAGACCATTAACCATTGACTATTTATTGGGTTGAGCCTATCACTTCTGGTTCAGCTCACACACGCAGTGCAAGGGAGCCTGGTGATACGTTTCTATGGCAGGACATATTTTGAGTTCAGCCCGTTAAGAATAATCTCAAGAGCCCCCTCTGTTTCATTCACATTCAGTCATACAGGACTCATCCATCAGGGCCCTCTTGGAGTGGAAGCAATGCAATGAAGCTAGCAGACATGCCTGACTTCTTAACAGATCAGAGGGCTGAAAGCATGGTCAGGGTACAACAACAGTGAGAGGGGAAAAGCAAAATAAGTGCACACTGCTACCAACAACCAAGTCAATTTGGCCATGGCAGAGCCAGCAGGAGCATACCTATCCTCCTAGCAACAAAACTAATCCCAAGCACTAGAAGCTGTGTTGCTGGTGAAGGTATAGGAGGCAGAAACAAGGCAAGCAGGACTCTCCTGTCCTAGGGGGAGGTGAAACATTTGGGAAACGAAGGAAGAGGAGATCCTCTTCCGACTTGTACATCAAGCAAATTTGGTCTGGAACAAGCCAAAATGTGGAATCCCACACCACCTTGACAAGAGTCGCTGCTCTATCTGTGGCAGCGCTTAAAAAGAGAAACCAACCTGGCTTTTCCAATGTACTGATAAGATGGGAGCGAGTGAGATGCCACAGGCTGTAGGCTTCAAACTTCATTCTAGGCAGCAGTGCAGTGTAGCGAAGCCTGAGCAAGCTTTGAATGAAGTGGCTGGGGACCAGTAGCACAATAGCTGTGGCAGGATGGAGCTCAGCACCAGTGAATTTACCCTGCCAAGAAGCAGGGTAAATTCACCTACCTTGAGCTCTGTGCTGCCAGGATTAGACTTGCTGGCTTAAAGCCCATTTGGGCTACAGTCTGCAATTAGACATACCCTTTCATGCAAATGTAACCTTTAAAGCGACCGTCTTTCCAGTCAGCAGGCTGGAAAGGTTACACCACCACAGAAAAGCAAGACTTAGTCATAAGATCCCAACTGACAGGAATCCGAGTAAGAATTTTTTGGGGTACATTTTGCTAGCCATCCTCCAGGCACAGCCCAACAAATCAGAAGTTCATCCAGCATATCTTGCCCTTAAGACTGCAGCTGTTCTCCCAACCCCTTCCAGGAGAGAGAGAGATCACTACCTAAAATGCGCAGGTCTGGGCCCAAGAGTGGACTCTACACCAAAGACAGGACAGTCTTCTCAGTCACTAGAAAGAGACCGAGTCATTGACTGCTTATTCATTCCTTCAAAGTCAGCAAGACCCCTTCCTTGCTGGATGGCACCAAAATGCTGACTACTAGGAGGATTCGTCATATACTTGCTTAAAGAAATGTCTCAAAAGATTTAAAAGGGAAAGCCACATAAAGTAATGCAATGGCAAGATAGCAACAATCTGTTCTTCCTTAGCCTTCATCTAGGTCTTCTGTTCAAAAAAGAACCAGGTATTTACTAGTATGTCCTGGGCTGGAACACATGTAAAGCTCATTTTGAATTTTCCAATGAAACCATTTTTTTTTTTTGAATCAGAAAAGGGCAATATACTGAAACCAAAAAGGGTTTTGTAGGAACACATTGCCTGTAATAAACCTTTCACTAGAAAGGCTTCTCATGGCTAGGATGGGATTTTCTGATCAAATACCAGGCAGTCACACCTGGTGACATAACACCAGATACCCCAGGCAAGTGTCCCAGCTGCCAGGCTATTCTGGTTTTGTTCTTGAAGCATCTCAAAAGGTCTCAGATTCACCCCACTAAATTCCAAAGCCTCAAAACATACTATGCAAAATGAAGTTCTTGTTTTCTAGCTAGTCCAGCTAGGATAAGAGAAATGAACCATGACACATATTCTATAACTGTCCTCAAGGTGGGCCCAATTCTGTCTTGTCCTGCCCCTTTCATAGACATTGGCACCATTATCAAGCATCCGTGAGGTAATCTTGTGATTTAGGAGCATTTTACACCCTCTCTGCACTAGCACAAGGTGCAAGGCAATGGAGACACAGGGCCCAAGACTTCCCCTGCAGAAGTACAAGTATATAGTGTGCTTCACAGTAACGCAAGGAAAACAACTAAACCCCACTTGTTGCATTGTGAAGTGGAATATGCGTACAGAAGGTATCGAAAGAAGCTACCTTTCCTACCTCCCTAGAAAAATCAAGGTTGCCCTCCTAGCCCTGGACAACAAAGGGCAGTGTCATAAAGGTCTTGAAAAAAGATATGCCTGTTGGCAAAGTGCGAGTCAAGGGTGTAATCCCCATTCCCTTCACTCCACTAACAGCTTGAGTTAGCCTGTTTCTCACTTTGATTTTTATATCATGCCTTTTGTCATAATATCTGGGGATTGGCCTAGCTGGTGTGGACCCAGTAAGGCTGAGCCTGGAAAGCTCTGCTCCTTTATAAACTGGAGGCAGTTTTATGACTGGATCACTTCACTTCATCAGACCTTTCTTCAGAATAGGGATGGGAGGTGAAGAGAGCATATAATGTGTGTATGAGACCACATAGTGGACTTAGGCTATTCATTCATATTCAGAAGACTAAAACACAGAGTCCCCAAAGTATCTTTGGAGAATTTCTCAGAAAAGCAACTTTCATAAAGGCAGTGGGTAAAATCCAGAAGATGATGTGCTAAATAGGAAGAAAGTCTGGTCCATGAGGCTCTCTAACAAGGCACATCTTAGCACTGTTTGAAAAAGAGGGTACTGCAGAAGTCAGGAGGTCTATAGTACAGACAGGGACTGTCTCATTACTCAAGAACTTGCCTCCGTTACCAGACGAACTTACCTAGTATTTCCCTGTACTTGCATATCCCTGTGGAATAAAAGGGTGCCCCTGCTATGCCTCAAGGCCTCTGTATAGGAGGGATATAGTTAGTTTTGGAGATGGAAGAGCATTAGTTACTTGGACAAGCAGTGCAGCACAGACAGCAGCAGGGCAGGTTTCCCACATGACCCCACTTCCTCTTGCGGTGTTCTGGCTTAAGTCAACCAAGAGAAGTTTGCTCTTTATGTTTGTTCAGTCCTCAGCACTAATCAGTGCTGTTCTAGAGCCCCACGGTGCTGGGACCCCTCAGAAGCATGGGTGCCAGCTGCCACGGTGTTCTCTGTTCAGTGACTGATTTATTCAAAACAGGATCTTGTGTATGGGCTGTGGTCTATGCAGAGGGACAAGCTTGGGGCTTGATTTGGTTCTTAGCAGACTGGAAGCTGGTGGCTTCTTCTCTGGGGAGGTCATTTTATGAAAAGGTGACAAGTCTTTCCCTGGAAAGAGTTTTAAGAAGAGCCCCAGGTAGCATTCTAGAGAAGCAAACTTCAGGTGTCCTCAGCGTGTGAATGTGAAATCGATACGTAGAAATCAGAGATGGGGAAGAGGCCAGAGGGGCTGGTTTTCAGAGCCATTGGGCACTTCCATTCCCACTGACTTCCTTCAATGTTTTGAGTGCTCAAGATGTTTGAAAGCCAGATTCTTACCGTGTCCTCCCCTAACAAACCCTGTTGGGGCCATCCCCAGTTTTATGTGCCCAGCAGGCAGCTGAATAACGACAGTGGTGGTGGTTATTATTACTCTTTTACAACCACGCTGCAAGGCCCAAATCTGAAATATTGATTGAAAATAGTAATAGCATCTACATGATGTTATATTTGAACAAGGCAGCATCTGTGTTTTAATTATTCCTCTTTTGAAAATCCCCATTTCTGAGGCCTTTCATAGGGACAGCAGAAAAGGGAAGAAGAAAGGTGGGTAGGGCCAGGCTCTCAGCCAGTGTAAATGTATGCAACTACGCAGATGAAATTAGTGAAATGATGCTGATCTACTCCAGCTAAGCAACCACTTCAGTATCTTTCCCAGAGGTAGGCTGATTTATACCAGTTGAGGAACTGGTTTTAAGTATCCACAGAAGGGGCCTGAACAGCTACAAGGTGGGTCACAATCCCATCACTTCTCAAATCAGTTTTGCACTGCACAAGCTTGCTGGCCAGCCCAGGGCTCCTGCTCCTTCTGCTGGGGGTCAAATCAACCATGTGCTGCAAGTGGTAGGCAACAGTCAAAAATGAGTTCAACATACCTTTGTTCCTCTTCGAGTTCTTCTTTGGTCATCATTGACTTATACTGGTTTCCCCTCAGCTTTCCAGGGCTATATTTAAAGGAGAACTTTTCATCGGCAGCTGGAGACAGGGAAAAGGAAAGAAAAAAAACAGTTGTATGAACTAACATAGAGAAAACAACTGTGAGCTACAAAAAGCAAACTGTGGAACAACAGGAGGGATCCTTCCTGTTCCTCACCCACCCCAGACTGGCAGATATGCTGCTAACCTCCAGGACCAACAGGAGACCTGAGCAGCTACAGCAACATTTCAAAAGACCAACTGGCCCTTTAGGAACAGATCAGCCTGGCCATTTGGGGATAAGAGGGAAGGGCTGGAGTTGCAGGCGATATTTAAGTGCTGACTGTGGAAGGGCACAACTCCATGCTGCTGCCCCTGATGCTGCTGGGCATTGGGTCCAGCCAGGCTGCAGCCCCATACCCCATGGTTGGCACAGAAATTGCACTGTCGCCACCACCCCCACTGTTGCTGGGACCTGGCTCCACCCAGGCTGCAGCCCCATGCCCCACTGTTGGCACAGAAATCTGGGGGGGGGGTGTCCCCCATACCCGACCCCACCACGTCACCTATGGTTGGACTCCAACCTAGAGTCAACTTACATCAGAACCAGCTAATGCTGTTGGAGCCACCGAGTCTGCCGGGCGCACATGGAGTTGGCACAAATATGAGGCCCATTGTTAGTGACCTACTATTAGGAATGAGGCAACTAACCATAAAGGACAGGGACCTTGTGCGACAGTAAAGCCTCACTATAACCAAGCCCCATTTATAACAAACCTCCACTTTCACTGACCTCAAGGGCAGAAAGTGGTATTTTTGTTAGGAGGAAACAGCCAACTGATCTACTCTGTTATAGCAAACACCCTTTTTTAGCTGCCTTTTCTCCCACTCACAGGGAAGTTGGTTATAATTATAAACAATGTTGCCCTGTATTTCTTTTCTCTGGTGCAAGAGGCTTGTCAACCCATCTTGGCTTCTTAGGAGGAAGTAACTGTGCCTCAATTCACCTGCAGCATCCGTCCCTTCTTTCTGAACAGGAATTTTTCCCTTCTCCCCATTTGCCACAAGCTAAAGCTGCCTGCTCATGCTTTAAGTTTGTGAGCAATCATGCAGGAAATGGTGCTGGAAGCACATCTGGTACATGCCACACAATCTATTTTAACGTGTGATGGCCCCCATCAGCCTGCCAGGGACCCGTGCTTTCCAACCACTGCACTTGGGCAACCCACAGAATTTCAAACAAGCATGTGAAATAATCTTGAAAAGGAAGAGGAGTCCCACACTGCAAATTCCTGGGCTATAAACAGAGATTGTTATAGGTTGCAACAACAGCTGTGATGAGAGGGGGCCAACAGCTCTTTGATGCCTGCTAGCAGACTGGAGCAGAAAAGATTTCCCCTTCTGCAGATCACTAACTAATTTTTTCAGTACAGCATGTTTATTACAGTCCAGGTTCTCACCAAACCCTGGCCCTTAGATCACATCTCTACATTAATTAAAACTCTGTAGTTCTCAGGCATGGAGCTGAAGCTTTATCTTTTCCAAGCAGATTTTCCTGGGGCTGTTTTTGGTTTTTTTAACCAGACTCCCCCACTGTTATCTTCCCGCAGCAGGGCAGCAGACAATGGGATTGGAAGTCAATCTCAAATGCGTCACCAGAAAGGAGGGGCTGTAGCTCACGATGGCTTTTATAAACTATCTAAGGCAGGGGCAGGCAATTATTTTGGGCGGAGGGCCACTTACCAAGTTTTAGCTAGCTGTCGAAGGCCACATGGGTAGCTCTGCCCCCTTGACAGGTGCCCTGCCCCCTGGTTGCCACCTTGGGACTGGAAGTTCTGCCCCCTAACCCCTGACCTTTGCCACCATAAGTCCCTCCTCTTGCCCCTGAAAGTACTCCTTTCAGCAAGGGGTTTTGCCATCTCAGAACCAGAAAAATACCAAATTATATTCTGAAAAGTGAACATCTACAACATCCATTAATTTGATTTTAAAAGTATTTTTGTCCTGGTTTACATGCATTTCTGTAGTGTGCATAGCGGTGATTGTATATAATAGCTTAAAATGAAATAAAGTCTTACTCTTGTATATTGTGGGGGGGCTGTGGGTGTGTGTAGGTGGATATAGGGTTTGTGGGGGATTGTTTGTAGGGGGCAGAGTGGCTGGGGGGTGTGTGAAGGGGCATGGGGGTCTGCATGTATGGCAGTGTGAGGGGGGGGTGTGGGTATATGTATATGGTGGGGTGTGCATGTGGGACTTGCCCTATGAACACACACACACACGAGTACCGGCACAGCCCCACGCTCCTGGTCTGACAATGCAGCTGGGAGCCACATGGTGCTGTAGCAACGCAGGGGCAGGAAGGCAAGGAAATGGTTCGGGATGGGATGGGGATGGGCTCCTCCCTCCTGCTGCTAGCTCCCCCTGGGCCCTACTGCCCCTGGCTCCTGTCATCTTTGACAGGCAGCCAGGAGCAGATAAATATTTTCTAAATTTGTTAGAGGTCCTGAGGCTGGATAGAATGGCCTGGCAGGCTGGATCCAGCCCCTGGGCCATATCTTGCCCACCCTGATCTAGGGGCTGTGTTTAGATCACCTCAATGCTCCAGAGACCACAAAACTGTACTGCCTCGTGCTGGACAATATTGCCTGACCCCTCCAGAGATCAATGAGGGACACAAAACAAAGGTGTTGCAAGGACCAGCTTTCCCAGGTAAGGGAAGGGAAAGAACTGTGCAAGGACTTAGCCTTTCTTTGCTAATCTATACAGTCTTCCTTTTGTCAGTGCCTGAACTGGGAACATAAGACTGGAAGGGGTCTCCCGGGTCATCAAGTCCAGCCCCTGCTGTGACAGGTAACAGTATCCTAACATCCCATTTATAAATGTATCAAATTCCATCTCATTCCCACTATTGGATTTACTGCCCCTGTCAGAGCTCCTTTCCATTCTCCCCATGGCTGTAACTGCTCTTCAGATTGCCAGCCTAACGTTATTCATGGCCAGTTCATATCCATTACTTTTTGTGTCAAAGCAACCCTTTAAAGGGCTCCTCTCCTTCCCAGGTGTTTACCTCTCGGATTTGTAGGGATCTCTCCAAATTCCCTAAGTTCAAGTATTAAAGAAATAAGGCTTATGAATTGCCACCGCAATGCTCTTCTGTGGCGACTCTCAACAACAGAGCTCCAAGCACTCTGCAGACCTCTGCGCAACCATGAGGCACATACTATTCTGGTTTTACAAGCAGGAAAACTGAAATGCTAAATGGTCTGCCAGGGCTACAAGAGGAGAACCCAGGTGCCCCCCACTGCTACATGATCATTATTGTTAAGGGGGGAGAAAAACCTACAGAGCCTGCATCCTGGTGCAAACCTGCTAAAATGACCGGCCTCACGGAGGTTCTCAGATTCACGACCCCTGTCCATAGGTCACACTGGATTCCCAGAGTCTCTGCACCTCAGCTTGTCAATGAGGATCACTGCAAGCCTTGGGAGTTCTCCACCGAGGACCTGAATTGAGGGATAATCGTTTGTTTGTAGCACCGGAGAGCGAGAGAGAAAAAAAAGACGAGGCTGCTTTATGGCACCTTGTGAAAAACAACACTAACCCTCTTCCAGTGGCTTTTCACATGCTCAGCAAACAGCAGCATCCGATGCCCTTGCCCTACCACTCAGAAAATTTAGCTTGGTTAAAAAAAAAAAAAATCTCATATCCCCTCAGTGGAAAAAACCTCCACCCTTGCAGGCAAACAAGTCCAGTCAACTGGAAGTGAACAAAAATGCAGCTCGGTTTATAAGACGCCACAGGCTAACTAGGCAGCGCTGTTGAAATGTGACTTCTGCTGGTCATTGCTCTGGAAGATGTTCACAAAACGGGGCCCCAACTTGCCCTTTCCGTACT